GCCAGTGTAGACTACATACAATGCCTGATGGGGGCCCTAGCGGGTCCCCCGGTGTGGAGCTCTGTCTTGTTCAGATTTTAATGTTGTGTCTTTAATATGTTGTATAAATGTACGATCGAGCCAGGAACCAATTTTCGTTTGAAGTAAACGCTGTAAAAAACTACTCTGTTGGGGGTCCTCCTTCTGAGACCCCACCTTTCATGGAGGAGATACTAAAAATCTCAAAAATAATCTAAAAAAAAAAGATTCTAAGGCTATGTAGGTAATTGTAAATGTAAACTACGACACATTCGAATGGTGATGCACTGAAAACGAATCTTAATCAGAGAGTGAGTCACTTTTACTCATTCATATTGAGAAATTTCTAAGAGGGTAGGTTACTTATGCACTTTTAGAAATTTCTCCATAAAGTGACAATTCACAACTGAGTTTTCAGTGTGGATATTATTCTGTGTAGTCATTCGTGTCGCTTGACTCTGAGAATAGATCCAATTTGATTCCCCCTTAAGGTGGTGGTCCTGTTCTGGCTCCACGTTCCTCCTTCTTCTAAACTATTTACAACTGTCTACTTGAGGATTACTGAGTTTCGATCTTTTGCCGAGATGGTTGCCGAGCCCGATCGCGAACTAGCTTACTATCCCGAAGGAGGTCTCGACATAAGCTCAAGGAATATATTGTATAACGGGATTAAAAACAAGTGTTTCAAATGCTAAATGGAAGGGAAGCAGTAGAATTTGTGCCTTTAGAAAATTGCCTCTGCTCGTAACATGGAGTAAGGTAGGAAACGGATCATGAACGTGATGAAAACATTACGGTGAATAAGCAAGTCGGTTTTGCTTATTGATATCAAGATGGTAAAAGTTTTTTTTTTCACACATCGCTATGAATTATAGTTACACTGGTTAGTAGTTGTTAATAGTTTTCTATACCTGGATTTTTTTTAAACGACTGGAAAATCAAGGAATATCAGGGAATTTGGTTTACTTCATTGAGTCGACAGCCTGTTAAAGGACCTTTTTATTAACGAATTAATTTGTACACAAAATCCACAATTTCTATCTTAATTCTCATGTAATTTAACAAAAAAAAATGAGGCGTCAAGCTAAAAAACGGTGTATTGCAATTTTTATTAGATACTGAATACGAGACGGAAAATATGCTTTTTATCTATGATTTTTCAGTTTTTTTTTCAATTTTGATAAGTGGTATCTTCTGCTAGTCATCAAATTATGCAGACACATATTTAGATTTTATTAGCTAGACAATCTGCTATGATATGGTATACACATATTTAGAATCGGAGAATGTCAATCTTCTTTTTATTAGCCACCTGATTCTCCATAGTGCAATGTATTTCTAATTTGTTTTAATACTTAATTGACTTCACTGAACTAGATTTTAGAGAACTTCAAATAATTTAAATTGAAATCTGTATTAAAACATTTATACAGAACCATCTAAATTTAACGGGATTAAATAAATTGCAGTGGTTTGCCAAGCTTTAATAGACCAGCGTTGTTTACAAATATCTGTTCTTAAAATCACGTTGGGATCAAAATTGTGCTTGAATAAGATATTTTTTTTTGATTTTTTGTTGATTCAAACCGCTGGATTTTTTAATTCATTATTTGCCAAAATTTAAACCAATTCCTAATTAACTAGGAATAGATAATCAGTGCTTTCCCGAATTTTCCAGAAATGTATAGTTTTCCGTGCTAAACATAATTTTTCCAGCAAACAGCAATTCAAAACTAATAATTCCTAGTAGGGGAACAGGGAGTAACATGAACTATTGATTTTTAAAACGGTGAGGTCATTTAAAATATGTAAATGTGAATTAAATAAAAGGTACATTGTTATAAGACCTGTGCGTTGACTTGATTGATATTTGAATGCATAAGCACTTAAAATCATCAAATGTTCTTTTTACCCTGTATGTCAATTTTACCTCCTCTTCCCCTAACATTCAAATTTCAGCGAAGGGTAAGAATAAACATAATTCAGAGCGTGTTGTTTTGAAACTGAAAAATTTAGTAAAATCTGTAAATATGTTATAATAACGTTTCCATTAAAAAAATTGACTTTTTCGGATGGTGATAAAAAAAAGCTAAGACCAAGGGGTAGGTCACTCCGCACACCAATCTTGGGTCATCTTTTTTGTCAGTGTGCCGCAAGTATGTCGATTGTGCCGGTCATAGAGCAAGCTGCGATTGTTTGTAAAACACCCATTCCGGCAACCCGGTATTTCAGACACCTTGAATATTTTGGTTCGAAATCGCAAGGATAAATCGGATTGAGGATGACGCGGGAAGTGGCGAGTGTGCGAAATTTCGGTTTTTTGTGATCCTTAGGGTAATAGAAGTCCTGTGTTTTAGTGTTTTATAATGGCAAGCCAAAGGCAAAGGCAGACCAGAAACCTAGCCTTTCGGCCGGAAAAAGTTGGAACCAATGGGGAGCATTGTTGGAGACCAACTATAGAGGGTGATGAAGAGACTTCTTTAGTTTGTTTTGTGGGAATTGCAGCATTATTTAAATTAAGGGTACTAATGAGGTCTGATCAACTGCCTCTTTCTCTTGAGCCCACTCTGGAACCTACATTTCGTATTTAGATCTATAAGTGAACTGCTGGTCTGAGTTCCTCTGGTGTATTCAATTAGAAGATGTTCCTGAACATACAGTCAAACAGCACGTAATGTTCTGAACAACTTCAATGACAGTTGTCCAGCAGTGCTCCTATTTTATTCAATAAACAATCTAATGCCTACGAGATTGTGCCGAAGGTATGCTGAAAATGTGCCGATGGATGTTCCCAAGCTGTGGCGAATATATTTTCGGCACAATATACTGAGTGACTTACCCCTTGGCTAAGACAGATAATTTCTTTTGATAAATTTCCGATAGAAGGTAATTGTTAAAGCTTACTTGCAAAAAAATTCTACGCCCTTGCGAGCGGCCTTCCGGCAGTTAACCGGAACATTCGCCATGGCGGACGAAAACATGCGTGTAGGTGTTTTATTTATCAATTCCTCCTCAGTTTTCGCGACAAAATTGTTGGAGTAAATCTTACGCTTCAGGTTGGCCCAGAAATTCTCGATGGGACGCAGCTGGGGGACGTTGGGCGGGTTCGCCGACTTGGGTACCACATCGATATTCAGCCGCTCCATCTCCTCCAACGATCGCTTCGAGTAGTGGGCCGACGCCAGATCCGGCCAGAACACCGCGTCTTCGCCCTTATGGAATTTTTTGATGAACGACGCAACTTCCGGCAGGCATTTCGTATTATAAATTTCCCCGTTCACGGGCAGTCCGGAGCGAAAGAAGAGCGGCTTTGACATCCCCTTCTCGCTGATTGTCAGCCACAGCAGCACCTTCTTGGGGAACTTGGTGTGTGCAATGAACTTCACCTCGGAGCTCACTTCCTTCGTGGGGGAAGTAAAATACGAAGTGCCCTGCCAGTCGTTGCCATCCAGGGCGAGATAGGTCTCGTCGTCCATCACCACCGCCACGTCGTGATTCGCCGGGAAAAACGAGTTGACCATCTTATTCAGCCGCTGCCGCTGCGTCATTGCCTGCAGCTCCGAAACCAGTGGACGTGACTTCCGCTTCCTGACATGTATTTTCATGTTCGTCAGGAACTTTTTCACTGTTTGGCCGGTTGCACCGACCTCCCGGCCAAGCGCACGCAGCGATGTAGCCCCGATGTAACCACACTCTTCAACATCCTTTGGAGCTTCTTGTCGCTCAGGGTCGTCGGCCGTCCGGAACCGGGCTTTCTTTCGATGCTCTGATTGTTGTCTAATAGTGCCAAGATGATGTAGATGCCGGAACGGGCGTATCTTTGAACGCGCACACTTCTGAACGGAGTTGCTTCACTGTTTTTGCCATCACGGATAGAGTTCGACTGATAGAGCTGTCAAATTTTGTCTGCTGACTCATGGGTTACTATGATTGATGCTGCATGGGTAGTTTCGTCAGTGCAGGGGAAGGTAAACCCATGAACAATCGACAATTTTGTCCATTTTCTTAAATGCAAACGTTACATTTTCAATAGTTTTAAAAAGCATGATTTATAAAACTATTAATATTTTGAATTGTGGTCAAGAAAACCGGGAACATACCTGGAATTTCCAAAAAAAAAAAAATACAGTTGCCCCACCCTGCATAAAATTGTAGTAAACTCGAAGGTGCTACTATTTCATTCAGACGACCCCACATGTATCGCTTTGTAGAACCACCCTTTGCTTCACGTCCATCCAGAAGCAACTCCAAGACCCAAGTCCACACTGCTTGTGTCGTTTTTTTTTTTTCGTTTACTACAAACATACCTGTACCTACTATAGACGCAGGAGCAGCTAAGTATCACATAGAGTACCTCCCAGTCATCGTCATCGCATTCACCATCGCACTATGGTGGACATTAATCGAAAAACAGACCATCTCCAATTTAAAATATAGGTATACACCATTTCAAAGTAAATACTCTACCTAAAATAACCTCATCATATGTCTGCCTAATTTGATGACTAGCAGAAGATAAAAGTTATCAAAGTTTTAAAAAACTGAAAAATCATAGATGTAGAGCGAATTTTCCGTATTGTGTTCAGTTCCTAAAACAATAGCAGACACCTTTTTTTTTGCTTGAAACCTTACCTTTTCGACAGGGTGGATGAAATTTCACACTGAGATTATTTATGTGATGTTACATGAGAATGAACGGGAAAGTCCTCTAAACTGTTTATAAAAGAGCTGAGTCTAAACATAGGTGCAACTATGAGAGGTGGTTTCAGCTATCTTACGCAGTTTCAAAGCTTTGAGTAACTGCATTTTTTACGAAACTGAGCAAAATTTGTATGGGTATTGTCTCAGTCTTTAAGTTACTTTCAACGGACGTCCAAACAATTAGTTCAAGTGACGAACATAGTTTTGGCCACCTGTTTGTATGGAACGTTCCCATAGTGCATCGCCCCGTCGTCGCTTGAGACATATTTCAGTTTCTTTCCCGTACCCGTGCTACACTTTTCAGTCGTTTGGCGCGATTCTTAGCGGTAACAGTTAACCGAAGGAGAGCTTGCTTGTTCGCTGTTCGAGTTAGCAAAAGTTAGATTAAGGAACATTTTTCTTCAGCCAGGACACGATATTGCGTTTGCACGCGCGTGAAAAAGATTTAAATTCCCGAATGGTCCCCCCCGCAGGTACTGAGACGAATGTGGGCTGGTGTTGAATCGTAACGCTGATAGAAGGGAAGATAACCTCGCGCAGCAATTGCGAGGGAGAGAGTAAATTAGTAAATATTTATCTTTTCCGCCCGCGGAAGCCAAGTACCGACGTAGTTAATTTAGATGGTAAATTGGCGGTGAAATTGGAACAGTCGGGGAAGAATCATTACACCACCATAAAATTTACACAGGTCGGTGAAAAACGGGAACAGTGAATTACCCCCGCATCTGTGAGCTGAAGGATTTTGGAAAGTACGTCGTGGTTTTCCGAAATAGATTTATCGTATCGACCAGTGTAGCTGAAATTGTGCTAGGGTGAACTAATTGAATTAGTTGGTCAGTGCGAATTGTTCCACCGCCGAGGTAGCAACAAAGTGGGCAAAGTTTTTCAACAGTCCTTTAAAATTCCAGGTTTTCACAACCCAAGAGGAGGTGATTTCATGCCCGTGTCATGCCATTGTCGGATATCGGAGAGGAAAAGTCAACGTCCACTCGAGAAAACTGAGAGTGAACCCTAAAAATAGCTCTTCCACTTGAAAATTAAAATAAAGTCTTAAGTGTGGAATCAAGCACGACCGACGGCTACGGCAAAGTGAGTGGACAACGACAAATCCGAGCAGGAGTGGGAGTAAGCAAAAGTGGGAAAAGTTAGTTGTGTTTTTTTTTTTGTTTTTGTCAAGTGAAGGGAGAAGTGCCAGCCTTACTACAGTGTAGTGTAAACAGCAACTGTCGTGCTTGTCCTCGTCCGTGAATAAAAGTGTAATATTTACACCGAGAAATCTGCTGAACAGCTGACGCTGCTCCGGCCCCGGTGGATGCTGATTTCGTGTCAGAAAGAAAAGTAGTGTGAAGAAAACTCTTTTTTTTAAGACGTGTGGCAGCAGCTGTTTCGTTTCGTAGAAACGAAAGGCGACCCATTTGGGAGGAAGAATTTCGACTGAGCTGGTTGGATCTTCCGAATTGCTTCATTACGTCAACGTCACCGAACGTCACGAACGCGAACGCTACAAAATGAGCCAGGTTAGGAAAAAAAAGAAGAAGACACACATCCAAACTATGTCGCACGATGATGATGATCTATTTGTTTGTGAATGAGAGTAAATTACGGTGTCTGATTGAGGGTACTTGACGGGCGTACGATGATTGATTATAATGGAAGGTAGTAGTTTTCACCGAGGTTTGACTTGATTGTGACAAATATTGGGTAGCTGTTATACGGCGGCGTGGCAATAAATGGGCCGTGCACGCAACCTTCACAGTAGACACATCGTTGCTCTTCTTCTAGTGGAGTCACATGATAGCTTGTAGATTTTGTTTTTACTTTCGGAGGGAATTGAACGTCTCCCCGCTTATTGTCGGGATCTGATTCTGAGATGCGCATTTTTTTCTATGCGTTGCTTCTGTAGAAAGTTTGAGGATTGTTCAACAAACGCTGGATAGTGAAACGTCGTAGGTAATCCGAATCTCAGAAAATAATGAAGACAGACGTAAAAATAATGCGTCTCTTGTACAACAAATGAAGACTGGATGGAGAAAAATATCATTTCGATTGCTTATTGCGCATTTTGCACCAAAGTAGACCTTTGCGCTAAAAATAATCCCTGGCCAAAACAACAAAATACGTAATATTTTTCAAAGTTCTATCACGGCTAGTATGTCGATATGATATTCTATTGTAAAAGGTATTTGCCACTATATTACATTCGGTTGTTCCCGTACTTGCTTTTTGCCTTTGCTGTGAGGTGCTGTTAGAAAATAATTTGGTTCAGAAAGTACGGTAACATACTTTTACTTGTTGTTGTACAGAATCTTACAAAAACAAGTTCGGGAACATACCTATTAAAAATGGTCACAACTTTATCTGGCCAGAGCAAAAATGTGTCTGAGGGATTATTTTTAAAAGGTATCAACAGGGAATCTTATTTTATCTGGAAAAACTTGGAATTATCAGGGAATTCAAAGTGTTTTTTATGTTACTTCATACGCGAAGTTAACGATTTTCAGAGTTGGTTGGAAATGCTAACATGAAGCTTTAGTGTGATGATTTATTAGCTAGAGAATGATCTTTTTTTTTTTAGAAGAGGGTAGGTGGATAGTTCCGTTAGAGTACGGCAGTATGAAAATTGAATAGAAGTTGAAAATGAGCGAAGGGCCATTAAAGCGACAGTTTTCAAGATAGACGCACATTTTTGCCTAGCCCGTACGATGTACGCGGGGACTTGAAGTATGTCTCCAAGTCCACAGGCAAAAATGTGCGTCTATCTTGAAAACTGTCGCTTTAATGGCCCTTCGCTCATTTTCAACTTCTATTCAATTTTCATACTGCCGTACTCTAACGGAACTATCCACCTACCCTCTTCTAAAGATCATTCTCTAGCTAATAAATCATCACACTAAAGCTTCATGTTAGCATTTCCAACCAACTCTATCAGGGAATGTTGAAATTCTCGTATCAAGCATCAATAAATTCTTAAATAAATGTCGAAAATCTCAGGTAATTTTTATGGCAACAAAAATAAACAAATGCAGTAAACTGTATTAATGATAATTTTGTCCTTTTTGGCAAGTAACATTAGACCAAATTTTCGACACGATTGAAGTGCATCCACTTTGATGTGATATCAACATTGTTTTGTTGCTGTGTAGCAGCACCGGTGGTGTAGTGGTAAGCGTGATTGCCTCTCACCCCAAAAGGCCTGGGTTCAATCCCAGTCGGCGCCGCCGGGATTTTCTGAGGCATACAATCTCTTATCACGGAGGGAAGTAAAGCCGTTGGTCCCCGGTTCACGAGTTTGATGGGTCGATAGGTAGGGTCCAGGTGTGGGAGCTGCCTCCCTTGCGTCGGTAGGATTGGTACTCAGTAAGGAAAACAAGATCGACGGTAAACAAATCAAAGAAAAAAAAAATAGAATAAATCAAAGTACGCCAAGGAATCTTCTCAAGAATTTCAAAACATTTTAACCAACTTGATCTTCCTCGTTATTCACTTTTACATGATAATTCTGGAGTGGATTTATCTTCAGTAACATCATATATTCTGAATCTTGAATTATTGTTCTAGGGTTCTGAATCATGCATAACTTCTATAGAAGTTCGTGTTTAGCAGTTGAGCTCGTGCCGAGCTATGGCGTCGTGTTTGTGCGTTGAGATTGTGTTTCAAAAACATAATCGAAGCGTGCCGTGGTCGCTATTAGACGCGTTTGTTTTCGCTCGCTGGAGTTCTGATTTCGTGAGTTGATTCGCTCGGTGAGGGGCTGGCGCTGCGGCTTTCAGACTGTGTACTAGTGAACGGGAGCCGTTGTGCCGCGAGTGATTGGGGAAGGAAAGTGGTCGCAGTCCTTTTTTTTCTCTGCTCAGATCCCTCTAATCGGAGCAGCTAAAGTGTGTTTGGTGGTTGTTGGGGGTTTTCGCTGCTGTGTGAGGAAGGAAAGGCGGTTGCAAAATATTGGGTGCAGGGCTGGTAGAAGGCCACTTTTTAGTGGCTTAGTCACTAGTTTAAAGTCAGTCTCTAAAAAGTCACTTTTTACACCACACTATCACACACCTTTTCCCATCCAATATAGGGAAAAATATCATCTAAATGTTTAAATTGAGTACTTTGCACTAAGGAAGTCTACAGTAGTTATGACGAAATATGCATATCTGTCAAAAAATAAACAATTATAACCGGACACATTCAAGAAATTTGAAAACACCTGGAAACAAACATGGAATAGTTTTGAATTTCGAGGACAAACCGGAGAAAGTAAACTTCCTTTTCTCGAAAATAAATTGTGCACCTTGGAAACTATTCAAGGATATTGGTCTGTGCTAGATTTTCAGAAGTCTTTATTGAATTATCTAGAAATATCAATGCAATTTCCAAAGGAAATTTGAAGTGAATATCAAAGGAAATCTACGGATGATACCAAGATATTTCAGAGAAGCATGCCAAACTACACACTACGAAAGTCTCTTGTAAATTTAGGTGCTCTGAGGCTCGATTTGTTCACCTCCGCTTGAATCATAAAACCGTTTTAAGGCTTAAGAGGAGCTGAAAAAAACGGCCCTGAGACTGACAAATACGAGCTTCACTTTTGGCTTCACGGTGAAAACTTGTCACTTGTCGTCACGATGAAGTGATTCCCATTTGATTTGTACGGCAATCACGGCTCTTATTATGAGTATCACTTCCTTATCACCGTGTATTGACATCCGTAATAAATGATTAAAAACGCAAAATTCAGCTCCAAAACAATTTTTGGGAGAATTCCAAGATAATTGAGAGACGAACTCTATGTGCATTGTAACGAGAGTTCTGAAAGGAATTCTATGACGATTGGATGGTGATTCATGGTCCAAATTCTAATAAGTTTTAAAAATAAGTTCTGACAAATTATTTAAGCAAATTTCGTGAACTCCGAAGGGCTCCAAACTCAGCGAATAGTAAAGGAATTCTGGGGCGATTTCTGAGGCTGATTCCAAGAGAATCCTAAAGAATTCGAATGTAATTCCAAGAAGAATTCCAATAGAATCAAAACGGAACTGTGATAAGAGTTTCAAGAGTATACTGAGATGGATTTTTTGTTGAGAATTCTGAAGAAATACCATGGAAACTCTAAAGAGAATACGAATTCATGGTCCAAGATCATTCAGAACAGAAATTTAAGAAATTTCTGAGGTTAATTGCATGCGAATTCTAAGGAGATGATTCTGAAAAAGTTCTTGAGAACATGGCGATGAATTTCTGGTGAATAATCAGAATAATAAGCTAGATACATAAACATTTTTTAAGATTTCGAACGGAGAAACAAATTCAAAATCTACGAAAAATACTGCAGTTGTAGTTAACCCTATTGAACCTAGTGGATTCATTGGTTTATGCATTGGTTTAAACGTATGCCGCACAACCAGTAAAATTTACAAAACTCCAGAAAAACCCGAAATTTTTTTAAATTGATATTTTCTGGTCATCATGTAAAATATAATCAAAAGAAAACTATTCAAATCGATATAATAAGAGAAACTAATGAAATGTAATTTTAGGTTCCATGACAAAAAATGGACGTAACGTGGAAAATTCCTCAAAACAATAAAACACTTTGATTTATTTCACATTTTATTTTCTCTTTCGATAACAAAGAACCAACCAGCGCTGTCATGTTTTATGCATTCTAGTCACTCTCGTTCTTCCACTCCGTGAGAAGGGTCTCGACTTCCCTTAGAAAATCTTGCATTTTTGCACTCCGTTCAGCATTGCTGTCCAATGTGCAGAAACTTTCGACCTCGGAGAGTTGATTTAGTTTTAACTCGATTTCTGCTGCACCAGGTGGTTGATGAAAATATCATCCATATTCACTGTAGAAGGGTCCAGGAATAAATCTTTAGTTTAAGATAGAAAAAAAAAAACAAAACAAATCAAAGCGTTTTATTGTGTTGAGGAATTTTCCACGTTACGTTGCGATCTTGCTCAGTGATACGCTATACAAAATAAATTATACGCAATATTCTTGGTAAGCCTTATTTATGGAAAACATGTTTTTTTAACTAGTTCGTTTATTTGGAAGGTTCAATCGCGTTATGAACGGTACGGTAGTGCGGTTCTAGTTTCGTCTGGAGTTCGACCGGCTATGGTGACCATAGAAAACATGTTGCCGCCATATGGGATTCCAAAGTGGCATCTGACATCGATTTCCCGTCTCTACATGTCATCTCCTATCCTAAAATACCACAGTGAAAGTTTTTCTTGAACCGGTGGCCGCCATCTTGGTTTTTAACATGGCGTCTGGCATCGTTTTCCGGCCTCTACACGTCATCCCCTATCCGGAAATACCCATATTGTAGGGTATTTGACAGTTTTTATTAAACTGATGGCCGCCATCTTGAATTCCAAAATGTCGTCTGGCAACAATTTCCGGCCTCTACACGTCGTCTCGTTCCAAAAATATCCATATTGTAGGGTATTTGACAGTTTTTCTTGAACCTATGGTCGACATCTTGGATTACAAAATGACATCTGACATCGATTTCCGGTCTCTACA